CTCAGATCCACATACTCCTGGGGTAGGTGCAGTTGCGACCCCTACCGGCGACTGTCTTTTGCTGCCCCAGACGCAACACGGTCCCTATACTTAGGACAAAATTTGATAATGTGGCCTAGGTCCCCGCAGAATATGCATTGAGAACTGTCAATGCATGCTTGCCATACTCCCTGATGTATACCCAGATCTAGCCAGGGTCTGCCTTCGGGCCGGCCTTAGTGCCACCTTCCCTGTCTTGGGGGTGACCGACTAAAACACGGACGGTCAGGCGGGGGACCTCCCCTTCCTCCCTCTGGCCGTTACCGTTGCCGCCAACCCTCTAGCCGCCCTGTCCTCGGCCACCTGGGGCCCGACCATTCTGGCCGGACCGTTGTCCTCCTCCTTGCGGCCTCCCTCCGGCCGCACCAGCAGCGTAGGTTCTCCCCTAGCCTGCACCGTTGTTCTCCTACTCCAGTCTTCACTCGATGTCAGAGTACGGAACCTCGTCAGCACCACCTTCCTCCATTGTCAGAATTAAACTATCTTTGGCGTTGATTTGGCCCGAGATGGTGCGTCCCTTCCACGTTTTTCCCTTTGACAGATCTTTGTGCCAGAACGTGGTAACTGGCGATGCTTGTGCGGCAAATGCAACTGCCTTCCGACTAAGTGTACCATAATGATTGCCCTGCTGATTCTTCTTTTCGAAGAAGTGTCTCTGAATATTTTCAGGCAGGGCACGATAGAAGGCGTTAAGGAGTTGGGCATCGGTTGATAAGGTAAGGTATTGTTTTAGACATGTTCTGAACAATGTCGTAGTTCAAACTACGTCCTCCACAAAGAAGTCAAAATCAGCGCACTTAACAGCCATTTGCTCTAACCACCATGCTCAGGGACCGCAATCAGTTCGTCCATGGCGGACTTGAGGGTGTGCACACTCTTCCACTGTCTAGTGTGTATCATTTGGAGTTTGTCAGAGGCTTTGAGCCCCTGCGTCACATTTGAGAATCACTCTCTGAGTGACTTCAGGAACTCAAAGAGGGGTGTCAGTCTCCAATATGTAACCATGTCGTTCTAGCAATTTGCAGCACGAGCAAGCGACCTAGCAAAGCTAGTCGCCTTGTCTCGAAGGGCCTGGAAGGCCACCAAAACGTGGTCCTCAGGAGTGACTCCCTGCAGGTACAAGTAGGAGTGCATGTTGGCCTCCCAGATATTGAAATCTTCACCTTTCTTTCCACTGAAGGGTTCGGGAAAACGAACCTTACCTTTCTCACGGCGTGGTGGGGCCGGCTCTAACTTGGCGCCTTCAATGGCGCCGATACAAAACTCTCCAGTCTTACTAATTGCATTATGGACTTCAGCCAGTAAATACTTTATCACGTCACTCGCAAAATCCTTGAACCCAGCACACATTGCATCTATCTTTACTTCTAAGCTGCAGATGTATTGCGCTTGTTCATGATGTGCAGTTAGTAAAGACTCTACACCCTGGGTCAAGGTATTTAGTGGCTATTTTCGTCTCTTCCCTGATCTTCCCCAGCCTGGTCTCAGCCGCTTTCAGGTCCTTCTCTGCACTGTCCACCGCTTCCAATCGTCTTACCCTCTCTTGGGACAGCCGGTATCTCCGTGCCATTCGCTGTTCTTCCTCTTTCGCCTTTCTCCTCACCGGGTCGCTTTCTGCCTCAATTTGCCTCCTTGCTGCTTCTCTCTCTTCCTGGGGTACGGCCATCTCGGCCTCCCTGTCTTCCCCCAACTCCAAACGTGCGGCCCACTCCTGTGCAATCCAAGCAATCTCGATTTCTTTGCTTGTGCTAGCTTCCCCTCTCCTTCTCTCCAACGGCTCTTGTTCCTCTACTATCTCTTCCCCTTCTTCTTCTTCTTTCTCCACCTCCTCTCGTATAGCCGCCATCTTCTCCTTCGGATCCCTCTTCAGCTCCTCCTCCATCTGCTTCTTCCTTGCCTCTTGCTCCTCCAGCAGGGCCAGCATCTTGGCCTGCTTGATTAACTCCCTTTTCTCCATCTTCTCATTCCTTTCACGCAGAAGGGTGGCGGCTCTCTTGCTCCTTGCTGTAGGGGGTGGTACTAAACCCAGTTCTGGTCATCACCATGGTGTAAGCGCACAATCAACAACGATTTCTCGCCTCAACACATAGACCGACCAGGTTACCTCGTGTCTAAGGGACTTCTATGCACTACTCTGGTTGGACTTACGGTTCTACGACCACATACACAAAATTCTTTTGACCTAGACAGAAGTGACAGGGAGATAGGACTCACTTACTTTGGCAGACTTAATGTCAGCAGGTACCAAGGTGAAGGTGCACATCCACGGGGTAAGGGGTAGGTCAGGGCATGGAGAGATGGTACCGGTAATCTTCTCGCTCCAGCTGGGTCAACACTCCGGTCAACGATCTTGGTCAACTCCTCGCTCAACGCTCTTGGTTAACGCCCCGGTCAACTTCGGTCAACGCCCAGTCAACATCCTTGGTCAGCTCTCAATCAACATCGGTCAACACCCGGTCAACGCCCGTGGTCAACTCCCGATCAACGTTGGTCAACTCTCCTGGTCAACCCTTCAACCTTCCAGCTATGGTGGATCTTCTTCGTCGTCAAAACCTTCGTCTTCTTCACCTCGGCAATGGCCGACTTTGTCTCCCTCTTCGTCACTTTCTTCTTCCTTTTCTCTGCGTCTCTCTTCTTCTCGCTGGTCGACTCTTGCCCCGAGCTTGACAGCTATGGCTGCCGTCCCCCCCCCTCTCTCTCTCTCTCTCTCTCGAGCTTCAGCTATGGCGGTCTCTACCTTCTTCTTCACTTGCTGCAGCTCCGCCGGCATGGACAACGGGTACCAGCAATGGCAAAATCAAACTTGCTTTCAACTCAGAAACAACAATAAACTCGTATTAAACTCAATCTGAACCAGCTGTACACCTTGCGGCTATGGCCACCAAACACCGTTTCTACCACCAGCCTCACTTCCCACACTCTCGCATGCACACACGTACGAGGATCACCCTGAATGTCCACGCTGCACAGCCACTCACACTCTGTACACTGTCTACACCAACAGCTGGGCGGCTATGGCCGCCGTCGTCTTCCTCCTCCGAGMTATGGCCGTCGGTGTCTCCCTCGCTGGCTCGCTATGGCCGCTGTCTTCTTCACAGCCCACTTCTTCTCCGGGCACCTGCAGACCTCCACGCACAAGATACCAAGGCATCTCTCCCGCATGGCTCACAGGCGAATGAATGAATGGCTGGACGCTGCCTCTTTATTTATACCTCTTTGGAGGTACCCGGGCCTGCCTCAAAACGTGTGGGCCTGGGCCAAAACGTGTGGCCCAGGGAAGTTTCCAGACGTTTGGCCTTCTGGGCCAAAACGTGTGAAACCCACAGCGTGCTCCAGAACCTTCCCCACGTGCAGCCCTTACCCTTGGTACCCGCTGGCTGGACTGTCCTACGACCTTCTAGACTATACAGACCTACAGACAGATCCCAGTCCTCAACAGACTTCGCAGAGACTTCTAGAACAGACTTCCTAAGCCTATCGGTAACAGACCTAGCTGCTAATCTACAGAGCTAGGGATCAAGTCCTACTGCCCAAACTACAGACTAATCTGGGATGTGGAACAGGTCTAGGGATCGAATCCTACTCAGCACACAGCGTCTATGTACAGGTATAGGGTAGGTCTAGGGATCGAATCTCACTCAGCACACAGGATCAATGTACAGGGTTGTGGCACAGGTCTAGGGATCGAATCTCTGTGACTGCAATGTGAGGTCAACTGGGTGAAACCGTTTCAATCTAAAGTCCTCCCATTTAAGGTCCTGACGCGTGTACCAGAAAAAATGTGTTAGGTCCACCAATACATGAGTCTGCTGTCTAAAACCGCTAGTACACGGCACCAGCCTTGCAGAAAAAAAATTGTCACCTGCTCCAGGCCTGCATCCCTGCCGACCACCGACCCCAACTGCCGACCGTATCCAAGCCGACCAGTACGGCCGACCGGTCAGCTGTCTGCCAACCGGTCAGAAACAACCATCCACTGATTTTTTTTCAAATCTGAGTTGGGGGCTGTACTGCGC